TGAATCAGTGCGAAATCCAGAATAATTTCCTTTCTCTTACGTTTTATTCCCTACCTATACATGTGAGGTATTGTAATAATTCATAACCTGTAGACTAAATGTCCAAATTGCAAATAGTAACAATCGGATTCCGGTTAAATGGTTTTCAGGTATCATACTCATAATGAGATTTGAATCCCGTGGCTACTGTTCCTACTGGATGATGAATTTCCACTGAAAAAATCTACAAGCTAGTAAGAAACTAAACACCCACCAATTCCTAATTCCCAATGATTTATTCACTAATATCGACCTATATATTCCATACTAAGTTTCATCTAGGTCTTAGCTATTTATTATTTTTACTTAGTAATATTTACAACGAACGATGAATCATTTAAATGTATTCCCCTAATAACTTAGTAACTATAGTTTGAATACCCCCCCTTCCTCTTTCTTCTGGTGGTCACTTAGATTATGAAGACTTCGACATCTGAAGGGAAGCACGGAATACAATGGACAGCATGGAATCAATAAGATTTGGACTTCATAGATGACCTGGCCTTTCTATTCCATACACACCAACAAATACATGTGAGGAAAGCCGGTGTAGCAGTAGCCTCTACATCAGTAGGCCTCAACATACACAAAGGAACGAGCAAGATCCTGAAATACAATACGAAAAACACCAACCTAATCACACTTGATGAAGAAGCCCTGGAAGATGTGGAATTTTTCACATAGCTAGGAAGGATCAGCTACAGACATAAAGGCGAGGATTGGCAAATCAAGGACTGCACTCCTACAGTTGAAGAACATATGGAACTCAAAACAACGGTTAACCAATATCTAATTCAGAATCTTCAATACGAACGTCAGACAGTTACACTGTACGGAGCTGAAACGTGGAGACCACTACAACCATCATCAAAACAGGTACAAGTATATATAAAAACAAATGTCTACGCAAGATAGTCAATGTCCGTTGCTGGCCGGAAACCATCAGCAACAGCCTACTGTGGGAGAGGACAAACCAACTCCCAGCTGAGGAGGAAATCGGGAGAAGACAGTGGAAGTGGATAGGACATACGTTGCGGAAATCACCGAACTGCAACACAAGGTAAGCGCTAACTTGGAATCCTGAAAGGAAACGAAAAAGAGGGAGGCCGAAGAACATGCCGGGTCGGGAATCGGAAGCAGACATGAAATGGACAAATAGGAACTGGAAACAAATGGGAATTATTGCCTAGGACAGGGTTGGGTGGAAAGTACTTATGAGCGGCCTATGGTCCCCTGTAACAGAAATAAGTGATGTGTAACTATAACAATGACTTCACTAGAATGATCGATCAATATAATATTGTCGGATATATGTATGAATACGATAGAACTACGGATAATCTTAGTTGTTAATCTATGCATTATTACTGTTATTATCACTTTATTCTACCACTTTGCTTTATTAATAATCATCTTATCATAATATTTCAATATAGATAAATCGAAAGTTGCTTTCTTATCAACAGATATATTTTAACGAAATAATTGCCGAGAAAACGGGACACATACATCACTTAAGTTTATTGTTTCTATTATTATTACGAAATTGTACTATGAAATTCGTGAACCGTTCTTCTCGTAGGTACACTTGCGCACCTATTAATAATAAGATGAGATTGTTATGCTATGGATACACACAGAGTTAAATTAACTGATGTCAATTAATGGATTCTAGTATATTGACTAAGTAATAAATTCCTTCATTATGGTCATAATAAAATTGGTTGATTGTTTGTTTTTCATTAAATGTTAAGCTATAATGTAACACGTACCGGCAAGAATTAAGTCTGAAATATCTTAACTTTATCGCTGATAACTAACCCGCAAATTTCGTATCATAATTAAATGACTTCTTGGTTTGTTGTTCCGTCTTTTGATGACAATTTACTTAGGCACATTGAGCCAATAAGCATGGTTATGTAATTAATAGTTAACTGGTCATATTATTCACAGTAATCAGGAGAACTTGTCGACTTGACACCGGATGACCTCAAAATTTCTGAAAATTCGTAATCGGTTGAATTGGAATGTTAAATGATCATAAGGTTTCCAAGTCCATTGACTTTTTGGATAAAAAGTTTTCCTCAACACGGCAGCATACTTTTTAAATTGGGAGTTGACCTTTCTTTTTTATTCTTTCTAGACTAGCTACTTAATAAGAAAATAATAGTATTCTTACTCTTTGTAAATTTACTATCTTAACGTATTCATTATAGCTTGTTTCGTAAACTGCAAGAGGATCAGTAGGTTAGACATTTAAGGTATCTCTATTATTGTTAAATAGACTACCCTGACTCTGGAAGAAGACATAGTATGGATACACCCAGGCCACTGCAAACAATTTTAGGCCGTTTCAATCAACATCGCTGACCACACACTCATATAGTAGAACGGAGCAAACTGCATCACAGTAAACTTAACCGTTGATCAGGAGACAGACATCTTGTTCAGTGCACAAATGACGCACGTCAGCGAAAGTCAACCTAGATTTTCGAATGAGATTGTCCTAGGCCCCCAAATGCCCTGGTACAGTCAAGAGTGGGGAGAGTCCGCTCTCCCTCTCGAAATGCTCTCATATGGCCACGCATATATAGCCACTGCCAGGGAAGTCCTACTCACTGCCTTCTCGCGACAGGGGTGTTGTTTACGAAATTGAGAGGATGAAAAGCGAATGTTCGGCACTTTAACCGGGTTGGTGGACACGGAGTCCACCTAGGGGAGTTGGAAAACCCTGATTCCAAACCAGTGGTGCACATGGGCTCCATTGTCCTGAGGGAACGAATGACATATGAACCAATTGTTGGTCACCGGCGACCATGGGACTGCATCTCCTTACGATGTTCCACTGCCTTGTGGGTTAGACCTTTAGGTCAAAGGCTCCGGGTGTAGCTCTAAGAAAACTGCCTGCTTCGGTTTGGGCACCCGGACTGTATCCCAGCCCTCACACATCGAATGACTAATGTGGCGCTCACCTATTTGATGCCTCCTTGTACCAATGTTCATGTGTTGAAATAAAGACACCGAACCCATCATGCCTGCTTAAGCTTTCAGGATAAGTGAAGTGATTGACACACTCAATTACTTCACTTCCAATGATTAGTCCAGGCATGGACTAAAACCAATTCTGGAGCAAAATTTTGCATTTTGGGGGGTAGAGAAACGCATCCCAAACATGCTAGTATTCTTGCTTGAGATGGTCAGAAAAGCTTATATATTATCAAGGTCTTTACCAAACAAGACTATATAATCTGAGTAACATAAGTCAGCAAGTGAATCTCCTGGTAGATCAACCACTGGAAAGTCAATTAAGTAATGTCCAGACTAATCAAGTAACTATGACGTTCACCTAGGGTACATAGGGCAAACATAAAGGAGGATGATACTTAAGTAACAACAATTTGGTGAGTTCCTTTGTATATTTTTAGTGAGTAGTGACTAAGTAGTTGCTTTATAATATTGTCAAATCCTCCCAATTGTAAGTTATCATCTTGTTTATTAAGTGTAGCTACATTTTTTATCTTTCATTAATTAGTCGATTGAATATTCGACATAAAGCTCTGCATCAAAGACGTCCTAGTGATGAAATTATCAAAGTTAATAAAACGTGATTCTCTTCTAGTTTTACATTTTACTTATTATTCTAGAAAAAAAGGCAATTGCTACCACTCTTTTGACCCTCTGATTGGAGGTTTAGATAACTAGGAATTAGCACGGTGAATCGATCGTGTGACGAGTATATTTTAAAAAAATTAGTGGAGTAGGCAAGAAAACGGAATAAAGCCATAGAGATATGGTGGAATTTGGTTTGAAAGAGTATATGGGATTAGTACAATAGACAACTTTAACCGCCAGATTAGATCATTAATTTCGAATAAAAAGTGAACATCATAATGCGGAAGTAGGACAGAAAACGCCACTACACGGGAAAGTAAGACGATATCCATAGTCCCAGTACTAGAAAATAATCATAAATACCAAAGTCCTCACTAATGTACTTCAAGAAACATACCTAATTACGAACACATCCCTAAATGGTCATGAAATCTTTCTTTTTTCGATAGCCACAGTAGTAAATACTAAACGTTTAAGTGCCTTTTTAGCGTGTAAGCTGGTATTTTTGTAGCTATCATACTATAATCACATCCAGGTACAAGGGGCACCAGATACATATGCGCCACACAAATCTCATTTGATTTGTATGAGGGCTGGGATACAGTCCGGGTGCCCAAACCGAAGCAGGCAGTTTTCTTAGAGCTACACCCGGAGCCTTTGACCTAAAGGTCTAACCCACAAGGCAGTGGAACATCGTAAGGAGATGCAGTCCCATGGTCGCCGGTGACCAACAATTGGTTCATATGTCATTCGTTCCCTCAGGACAATGGAGCCCATGTGCACCACTGGTTTGGAATCAGGGTTTTCCAACTCCCCTAGGTGGACTCCGTGTCCACCAACCCGGTTAAAGTGCCGGACATTCGCTTTTCATCCTCTCAATTTCGTAAACAACACCCCTGTCGCGAGAAGGCAGTGAGTAGGACTTCCCTGGCAGTGGCTATATATGCGTGGCCATATGAGAGCATTTCGAGAGGGAGAGCGGACTCTCCCCACTCTTGACTGTACCATGGCATTTGGGGTCACTCACTTATGAAACGGGAAGGAATTTTAAATTGATGTGTAGCCGTTTGGATGGAAATTGATACGTACATCCAAATAGCATTCCGCGAATACAACAAAATGCACCGCACGGATTACATTGCTATCCACTTATATTCATCCTACATAAGATTGTGTCATAATGGCCAAATCGACGGAATCCACACAGGACACATAAAATCCAACAAAGACTGGCCAAATCTCTTAAATCTTAGTTCGAAGGTGAGATGGAAGCGGAAACTCATGCAAACCCTTCCCATTAAATCTTCCAAGATAGAATAGGGTAAACTAGAAAGTAAGAACGACTTGAGAAAAAAGTGGATTTACTTTATTCAACCAAGTTATCACTATTGGGTTGATTATAACACAAATCTGAAAATTAGAAACAGTGCATGCACAATAATGTCGCGGTACAACCAAATACAATTCTAAAACGGAGCATGACAATAGAAACAATGATGAAACTTGAAATAAAAGATGTTTAACATACAGAAAACTCTCGAATCAGTGTTACATTAAAAGTTGAGTAGACCTAATACAAAACAGCTCGCCTTGGAGGCATTGGTAATCTTTGATGATAGTTTGTTACAGGCATGGGAATATGATCAACCTTCTTATCCGAAAATGAGTTGGAGCTAAAATTTCCAGACGATTTATTTGCAAAAGAAAATACATTATATGCGTTTTCTTGAAGATTGTAAGAAATAGGCTCGGAAACAGACTCCTTTTTATTCCATTGTTTTCCAAACTCACAGGGAGTCAAATTCATTTCCCTTAAACTTTTACTTGTAGAAACGATCCTAACAATGGCTATTAATAGTGTAACACAACCAGCAAACACAATAGGGACAGCTGAATATGATATGGACAAATGAGCGTACGGTCCATCACTAAGCTGAGTGATACAAACACCTGAAACAATAAGAACAAAACCCAAAAGGACAGTACAAAAGCTTATGACTAAAAGAACTTTCTCAGGAGCACAGACGCTCAGGTAATCGGTTAAACATGTTCCAGAATTTCCCATTATAGAAACATCTTGGTGAGATGGTTTGAGACCTAGATTAGTAAATGCAGTAGAGTTACGTGATGTGAATGCAAGAAAACGCTAGTGAACAAAAGTACAAAAATACAGAGACCGTAAATGTATGCACATGACGACGGAGATAAATGATAGCGTCAGGTTTGCCGAACACTAACTACTTTCTGAAATAATTCTTTAGAGACCCATTAATTAAACTTTGAAGCAAACGCTTGGATGTAAAGCTTAGCTTTAAAAAATACGGGATATATATGTTGCTTGTATAAATTATCTTTCTTGTCTGATAAAGAATGATACTGCTAGGTACTTTGTAAACAAAAACAGCACTGTGAGTGTTCAGACATTTTCTAACATGATAAGGGTGTATTTGAACATCAGTTGGCCCGCAGAGTAGAGTGGGATTTGGTTTGTTGTTTAGAGAATACAAAGGCCAGTTACTAGGCTTTTAATGTTGATAGCCGGTTGAGAGGTTTTTATGTCCATCTAGACATTTAAAATAAAATAATGTACAATGTTAACACATACTTGAGATTAAGTTAGTTTAGTCAATGGTTCCATAAGATAGGCCAAAAGCTTATGGAGTCATTGTAATTTTTTAAGATGGACTGATGTACACATATTTATGACTGCTGATTTACAAAAAAAAAATGTTATGTGGTCTGAATGTCAAAGAAACACAATTAGTATAAAACCACTTACGTACCAAACTTCTCAACCACCTATAGAAACAATAACAAGCTGACAACTGAAAAACGCTAAGGACTACCTCGATTTTTTCAAGCCGACTTTTATGCAGTGAAGATATAGAACCTGTTGCAAAGCAACCAACGAGTCGAACATTTACGATTTTTATGTACAGGTTTCATTAAACCCACAGTCGAATTTCATTTTGCTGTACATGTTCACTGAGGATGTCAGCCTGTCCCAAAGCTGATTAAATTTACAAACGTATTAGTAAATCGTCTCGTGTTACTTTTACGGTTTTTTTCGCAAATGGCTGAAAAGTTGGTGAAATCTTACCAACATTAACGTCATTAATAATTATTAATGACGACCTCAGACAATATTGTCTGAGGTCGTTTTAGAACATATGTTCGAAAAACACCTGAAATTTTATAAGTCATCGGGATATAATCAACTACAGTTGGCAACACAAGATAACCATTCTTTAGTGTCTAAAATAATCAAGCGAGTACTTTGGGTTCCTTTTGGTACACATAAACATGGCGATCTTATATGGTTGGTTATGTAAGATCGCCACGTTTATATGTGAGGACTGAAACAGAAGAACAAGCCAGTGAACATCATTAACAATAACAAACAAGACCTAATGCATTCAACCTGACATTTACACCAAATAATGAAGCCAAATAAGAAACGACACCATGGATGTAAAACCAAATACGATCCTACGACCTTGAATCGCTTTATCCAAGTCAGACGTTACGTGCTTGATGTGCTCGAGGTTGGCTAGAAGCATGTTAGCTTGCATGAGTCCCCATTTTTCTCACAACTGAGTAGTCTGTTGACATCTAAGAGCCCAGTTAAGTGGCATAAAATCATTTTCAGTGTGCTACCTTTCTGTTTTAGTGTTAAGAGTAATTTTCCATCCGGAAGCTGCAGCTCTACCCGCTTCGGTGAAGATCGTATTAGATTTAGAAAAGAACGTTATACTGGTAAATAAAATGGCACGTAATCCTATGGACTGTTTATTTGGGTTGGTAGGAAAATGTCTTGCGCTGTGTCAAGCTTCCAGTTCAAATGGTTTTGGACAGAATAGAAGAAGCTTCTGTTTAACGGGCTTCTGTGTCTAGTAGCAGTGGATCATTAATACCTCCAGGCAGGAACCTAGGTATATCAACGATATTAGCGGAAAAAGAAACTGTTAAATCATAGTCAGATGCTATTCTTAGTCCTTAAGAATATTTCAAGTTTTTTCCTAAAGGACTCCTAAGAAGTCGCTTGGACTAGCTCATATGGCAGCGAATCCCACTACTTGACAACCCTTATGGAGTAGAGGTTGTGCCTACAGTCCGCTCTGTCGAGCTATGTCTTCACTTTCTGGGCGTCACCCTTAAGGTTTGTATTGGAATTAAAGTTAAGTGAGTGTCTAAGAGGATATACAGGAGTATTTAAGATGCTATAAGGCATTAGGTCATCTCTAAGGGGCCTGTACCCTAATGGGCAAAGACCTAGCGATTGAAGGCGCTCTTCATAAGGCTTGAATATGAATCCCCAGACTGATTTCTTGACTCGCCGCTGGATACACTCCAAAGTGTCGTTATACTTTTGGAATGAGGGAGGAAATACCATGTTTCCGTACTGTAAATGGGGACGAATAAAACTGTTGAAGATTGTGTAGAAAGTTCTTCCGTCATGCTAGCCAAAAATGTGCTTCAATGTCATCAGTGCAAGGTTTACTCGAAAGACATTTTCGTCACAGTTAGCGTAAGACTTCGAATCGTAGGGTACCAGCACTCCTAAATCTTTTTCAACTTCGGATACTTCTAAAGGGGAGTTGCCTGATTTGTAGCTGTAGTCTTCAATATGTCTCAGATGGACTACTTCACACTTTGAAGTGTTAAAGGTAAGTCCGTTGTCATCTGTCCAACTTTGAAGTCGATGCAGATTCTTCTGAAGTGCCAGTTCATCCTTTTGGTTGCTTATCCCTCTCTCTAAAGTTTCACATCATCAGCAAAAGTAATAAATCTGACGATACTTACTGTGGCGTGACGTCAGCGTTCCCCCTTGAGATTAAGGATGGTTGTCTATCTGTCCACAGCAGGTTGGTTATACAAGAATGACCCTTCCTGAAACCATGTTGTTGGGCTTGTAGCGGTAAATAAATCGCCAAAATGAATACCTCTGTAAGTGTTCGACATTGGATGCTGACCACATTGGTTTTAATAGACTTGTAGAATTATGGTCTACTATGATATTAGTGCTGCTCTAATAATACACCTAATTCTAAATTTGTAGATTCGTCATGATATAACTTCCTAATCTATAAGATCTTACGTGGAAGTCACACCATTGGCTACGCCAACTCACTGTATCGTACCAATTACCAATACATGATGTAGAACAAGGTTAGGCTAGAGAAGGAACAATATATTTAATATGAATAGAAGAAATAAGATAACATTCAGCTGGGACCACGCCTGCATGGCCGAGCCATGCCACTCGATCAACTCCAGTCCATTCAATTCATTCTCCGCGCCTTATCCATTGTAAGGTATGTCTCCGTGTTAAATATTGAATATCTATTTTCTGAGTAGTCTTATGTTCAGCTTTGAAGATTGTGTGGTCATGGTCCAATGCCACTACACTACTCTCCCACCAGAATCAACGTGATGTTGGTTCGATACCAAATTGGATGGGATCGTCGCGCGCCGGAGGTTACCAAGGATAATAAAAATCCTCCGGGTATTGGTAAGCTGAAGGATAAATCAAAAAGAAAGCGGCAGCATCTGGTCGGGAAATACATGTAATAATTTTGAAAATATCTACCTTCATGCTTAAAACGCTTGAAATGAAAATTTGGGTGAAGATTATTTTAACTATAAAGAATGGCATAACAATAATAATAATAATAAAACGATGCGTGCTAATAGCCGTTGGTTAATAACTTAACGTATAGGTAGTAAGTATTTTGTGTTTAGAAATATTAAAGTGATGAATATTGTAGAAATGTTAATATTGGTATTAGCTTTGGTTTAAATTATGAAATCAAATAACGATTATGCCGGTAAGTTGTCCATATGAGTTGAATTCCAATTGCATCTGTATTAGTAGGCTAACTGAAGGAACAAAAGTATACCGTGGAGAAGAATTCCAACTAGTGTTCCAGTTAGTTTGATACGGTTTATTAAGTTACGGGGAGATTTTCTCAACCTCATTTTTACTTGACCGTGATAGAATTTAGTAATACTACTAATACACATGAATGGTTATCAAAATAAAATTTAAATACATGAGTGATAATTATATGAATTTTGGACAGATAGCTAGGAACAAATCGCTAAACATGAGTGTATTCGTAAGAGACATGCTCTGGACTCAATGTTCTGATCTGCAGACTATTTATTTATATTTATACTTGCTGGCTGATTGGGCATACAAGTATGCAAGTATGCAGTTTATCATATGGCGGAATACGATTTAATTGAGATATAGTGGTTATAGGTTATTAAAATCAGTTAGGCCTGTCATATTACGAAGTGATGTGGTGCTGCAAGATGTATTTAGCTAAATAAGTTTTTACAAGATGATTAGTATTGAGTGATGCTCATGTGATTAACAGGGAGAACATAAGTTGTAACCAGGGGGAGTACACTCCCAACTCATGTCTATGGTAATGGCTTGAACCTTAGTCAGTGTTGGGGTAAATTCGACATTGATGTTTTCAGTTTACAGAAGGTTTGCTCGACTGCTTATACTGATTATTTGCATGCATGATTGTGTCGCTAAACCATCAATTACACTGACAAGGTTTTGAGATATTTACTGAATAAGCAACTGATAGAGAAACATACTGTAATCATCTGTGGTGAATGAAGATAAAAGAAAAACAACACTAGTGATAATTGTAAGTCAATTTGCTGACCGATTTTGTTAATAGTTTCATTAATTTTATCAATCATATTACGTGATTGTCAAGTCATGACAATGCTTTATGACGATATCCTGAAACTATTAAATTTAACTAGTTATAGTGTTGATTGAGGATTAGTCAGTGGAAAAATAGGTATTGTTGCTTTAGGTGATTCGAAATTATCAGAAATTTGTAACGTTAAAGAATCCGAGACGCCTAATTTAATTATAAATTTTAATTCAGAAAGATTCGTTTAGTGTTGATTCTAGTAGGCTACGGAGTTTTGATTTTAAACGTTTGTTTAGCCAACAGCTACCTAGGGGGTTAGTTATTTTACTAGTGCAGTTGATAGTCCCTAAATTTTTAATCTTATTATCTAAACTATGTTCGCATTTTAGGCTGCTAATACGATAAATCAATCCATAAACCTAAATACGATTAGCGACAACGACTATGATGGGTTTATTGATAAATGTTAAAGGCGATTCAGATGATTTCTAAATTCAAAAGATATGAAGATATAGTGCAACGCGTGTGTGGGTCAGGTTAACATGCAGGTTCTTGACGTATATGACAATTTAAAAATAATGAACATGACCAGGAAAAGTAATTTCAAAGTCAAGACTGCTTATGAAACTTCAGGCAGGAATATGACGCGTTATAAACATTCCGTAAGAAGTTAATGCATTTAGCCTAGGGACACTTACAAATATATGGCAAAAGCAACTGGAAAACATATACATGTTAAGTACAAAACAAAAATCGTCTAGTAAATTTGTTAAACTCGCCTGGATCATTTTTGAAAATTATATTATTCAGTGGACGACATATATAACGCCATTCGTGAGGAGTAGTAATGGTCCGAATGTATCCAGAATAAAACATGCAGTATGGCAATCACTTCCATGGTGCTTGATGCCGTTGACGTTTTTGCCACTTGCTCGGATCAGAACAATCGAATGAATCCAGATAATTGTGTGGTTGTTATTGAACGAGCCACCTATAATGACCTTATGATTGCAGAAAACCTATAGCTGAAACTCACCGTATGTTTTTGGAGAAGTGTCATCCTTGTTGTTTGGCAACCGAACTCGAAACTATGAAATTAGGCAGGCAGTGGTCAGAAGAAAGATATTACAGGATAGTGCATAGTTTAAAAACAGGATGATGTGTTAAGTGAAGGAACAATAAGAATTAGATCCAGATAACTATCTAGTCCTTGATTGCATTGTTAGTCGATATATATTCACGTTATTTTTAGATAGAGCTAGATGTTTCAACAAGTTTATTCCGCAGAAGCATGTAAATGCTATCAAAGCTTGTTAATGAACCATCAAAGCTAATTGATATAGATAACCGGTTATTGGTATCGATTGAGTTAGTATGTTATGAGTACTAATCAATATAACATTACGATAATGCATGCGAGCATTATTCAGAGGACTATTAGAATAATGGATTTACACAAATAAAAATCGATTGAGAAGGTTAAGGTGGATCTAAGGATTAGCAATAATAGGCTGCGTTTCTTTAGTTGGGCTCACCAATGTAGAATTATGGTCTACTATGATATTAGTGCTGCTCTAATAATACACCTAATTCTAAATTTGTAGATTCGTCATGATATAACTTCCTAATCTATAAGATCTTACGTGGAAGTCACACCATTGGCTACGCCAACTCACTGTATCGTACCAATTACCAATACATGATGTAGAACAAGGTTAGGCTAGAGAAGGAACAATATATTTAATATGAATAGAAGAAATAAGATAACATTCAGCTGGGACCACGCCTGCATGGCCGAGCCATGCCACTCGATCAACTCCAGTCCATTCAATTCA